TATATTTGCTCCAGCTACTTACGCATTAAGTGGGTGATGTTATTCTTCCTATCTGATTATTAGTTGGGTTGAGAATGCTTTGAGGCTGAACGCAATAACAGGGAAGAGTTTTCCTCCGAAGGATAAGCAAGGTTGGAGCACTGCGATAAGGAATATTGTTACCCCATTTTTGGCGATAATTAACACGCACCCCTTTCCTTCAGACCCAATTAATGTTTCAATTTGGTCTGTGGTTACAGACTAATGGTGGCCTTAAGCTGAACAAACCTTGATGTAAAGCTTTAATAAGGCAGTTTCAAGGATAGGGAAGGCTTTGGTGTATTTGTATGTGTGTTGGCGGAGTCTTGTTAATGGAATTAACAACGACAGCTTGAGGCACGTTGGACGTCTTGACATCGGTAGGATAAGACTGCCGCACATATGGAATTCCGAATTTCAGCATAGATTTTGAACTTGGCAACACAGACGATCATTATGATTAAGAAAGATAGAATAGTGTAGTGGATAAATGACATTTCAACCATTTCATGAAAATAACATTCATTTAAAATGAATGCCCTTGCTCTATCTATTTGAGTGGGTCTTGCAGGTCCTCCAGATTGAGGTCATGTAGAGGTCAAAAGATTGCATACTGACTGTGATGAATTTCAGTGCCACCACTCGTTTGCTATCACCCACACGTGCCCTACAAGTCCGAAATTTTTTTGGGGGGAGCTTCTAACCTCATGCAAATCTTAGATTACATTGTTGATGCTAACATTTATTTAGTCACTCCCCTAAGCCTGTTCAGACACAGGGTCTAAAATCTGTGTCAATGTCAAGTGTATCTCAGCTTTCTTGCTGATGCCACCTGACACCCACAATTCTATATCGGGTGACTTGGTTCAGGTGGTTCGTGTGAGTATTTAACCAACTTATATGAGACTATATTCTGTGCATTATATGGTAAATGAGGTTGGTGGTGAATGTTTTTTTTCTTTAACCCTTTCAGGGACAGCGGTTACTACAGTGGAGAGCTTAGCATGTTATCAGGTAACCCTTTCATGACCCCTGTAACCTGATTCACGTTACAGGGGTCATGAAAGGGTTAAGGCACTCAAATACTTTACTTTTTGGCGTCTAGCAGTAAAAACATGCTATTTACTGTTAGATCATTGATATGGATTTTCGTCATTGCATTTGCAATTTATTCAAATTGCAACCATTTTAACTGTATATTAAATCTTATTTGAAAGTAAATCTGTAAATTTAATAATTAAAAAAAAAAAAAGTAAATCTAAATTTTTTTTTTTCTCTTCTTTCTACCCACAATCTTGCTGCTGAAGGCTGTAAATTTCCCCAGTGTGGGACAAATAAAGGATATCTTATCTTATCTTATCTTATCTTATCAAAGGATGACTTTTGTCTCATAAACACAAAATCAGAGATTGACCTGAGAGTCGATGGCTTTGACCCTCCCATTTCGTTCCTGTCAGCATTATGTCACTATGGTGGTCAACAAATGACCTTCCTTTTACTCCCAGGAGACAATATTCAAAACTCCATCTGGTGTTGTGTTATAATTATTCATAAGGCAATTAGCATTAACTATATTTTGGTCGGGAGGCATAGAGTGGATAATACAGTGGTACGGTTGGGCAGTACAGTGTCAAATTTTTACGTCATATATATTTGTCACAAAATAGGACAAGACAATGCTGTGTGAGTTATAAGAGTTGCTTAAAAAATATAGAATTTATTTTTTTTTTATTTTCTGGAAAGAGGCAAAGCAAGCCATGCTAAAGTGTATGTGTAGAGGGTGTTGTACCGTACGTAACCTTTCCAAGCTGTTGCTCAAAAGAGGTAATTAGGAGCCGAAGGGGGTTACAGTGAAACTCCTCTACAACGAAATCATGTTTGCAGCAAGAAATTTTTCACAACAGGGGGTTTTTCACTGTAGCAAATTTGATATCAGATGTAAGCACACACACACCCACACACACAAACGTATGTGTACATGCACACACAAACGTATGTGTACTCTATTTTTATTCCAATAGTGCATAAGTATGAGCACACACTGATCTGACACTTGATATTGTCAGTGTAGAAAGAAAAAAAAGGGAAAGAAATTGCGAAATTTACGATCAGCATTCACTTTCACTTACCTCAATTTCTTGGATAATGTCTTTTGCTTGCTCCGTCTTTCATTTTGACCACTTTTACCCTGTCTTCCAGCATCAGAGCTCTTCTTGTCTAAGCTGCTTGACATCCAAATGTCCGTTTTGTAGCCATTTTAGCAATGCAACGTCCATCCTTGTCTGAATCTAACAATAACAAATACTTCCTGGCATGCAATGAACTTTTAAGCCAGCCACGGGACGCTTCGTA